CAGTAGCACCGTGGATGGTGGAGGCAATGGCTGAAGGCATCCAACTGGGAAAGTCGGTGCTGGGAGCACTCTTCTTGCTGGGAATTTTTGTTTGCTGCTGACTAGCTGAGCCAGTTTTTCCTGGTTGAGGATTGATTGGTTGTTGTTGTTTATGATACTGCTGCGGTTGATGATGCGTCTGGCGATACTGCATCGGGTTCGGGCTGTGATTCTGAAGCTCGGAAAACACCTCAAAGCTGCCACTTTTATGCTTTAATGGTGGGTGGTGTTCAGTGGTAGAAGGGAAAGGCGGCACAAAACTGCCGGCATCAGCGGCGGCAGATGTGGATGGTTGAGCCTGATGTTCTGCTGCCCTTGAAGTGGAAGGTTGAAAGGAGTTGGAGTTGTAGTTGGAGTGAGAGGGTGAATTGCTGCCGTTTCCGTTTCCGCTGTTGTTGGGCAGTAGGCTCTGCTGTTGCTGGCGAAGGTATGCCCAGAAGGCGCCAAGTGTACCCCAGACGAGCATAATCAGTATCGTTGCCAGCATTACGGATCACAGGGGCACAGTGGTGACAGAGCGGGGTGGTGCAGCTAGTGCTGGCGGTGCTGGTGCTGGTTATTAGATGATGAGGAGAACGAAAACAACAAAAACAACAACATCCAGTGCAGATGCTGCTAATAACAGTGGCAAAATTGCAAGGAAACAACGCAGGAAAGGAAGAAAAAGCAGTTCCAATTAATGGCAGCAGGTCCGGGCACAGTTAATTTTGTGTTCATTGTCAGTTGCAGATTTCTTTTACTGCTGCTGCTGAACTGGTCGTTGTTGTTGTTGATAGAGAAATTGCTGGTAGTGCCATTAGTGACACAATTCAAATGAATACTGATAAGGAGACTTCAGAGCAGAATAGCAGCAGTGTGCACACGCTGCCAGCAAACTCAATTGCCGGTAATTGGCTTGTATGGGCGCCGATGTGTCTCCGTGTGTCTGACTGCCGCCCGATTGAAACACTAATGCGGTTCCAATTGGAACGCACCGAAAGGTCGCACCAGGCAGGCTGGCAAACAGGCACACTGCACTGAAGTTGTCATTGAAAGAAAGAAAGAGAGAAAGTAGTTCAAAGAAGTGCACTGAAACGCCGAGATTGTGCACAACCACCTCTACACACTGTGTTCAATACTTTTAGCACACACGGCTAAAGTAGTGGTAGTAGTAATTTCAGAGCAGAGTCGTCGAAGATTGACACTGTAGCCACAACAAAACGTAGAACAACAGAACCAAACCGAACCGAACAGAACAGAACAGAACAGAATCGAGAAGTAGACACTGAACAGACAAATGACAAATGGAGGCACCAATTTGCCTGGCGATTAATTAAATTAGCAGCGTAAGAGAGTGCACTGAAATTTGCCAATGCAAACTGAGACAGTGCTATGGTGCTACGGCAGCACTGCAGGCAAATCAAGTCTAATTAGAGACGAAATTGCAGATTGCCATTGGTCGCGTCGATGGAGAGATAATTGACTGCAGAAGAAGATGCTGTGTTGCATCAGTAGTAAGTACAACAATGGGTAAAACAGTCTGAGAGAAGAAAAAAAGGAGAATATAAATAGAAATCGAAAGAGAGGACGGTAGAAACAGTAACAGAATTTAATTGAAATGGAAAACCGAGAAAAAGAAGAAGATGGAGCAACAAAATTAAGGAGAACTGAAGTGCAAAGCCAGCGGTGAGGTAACGCTCACTGACACAGCAAAGACGAATTTTAGGATCAGCAAAGAAAAGGAGGAAAAGAGGCTGTTTCTGCGTTTGCCGCTTCAGAAACTGCCAGGCAAGTGTAAGAGAGTGAGAAAGAAACGGCTGACAAGGCAGCAGCAGCCGCCGCCGTCGTGTGAAACATAAACAACAAAACTGAGGAAAAGAAGATGCAAAAAGTAACAGCAAAAGCAGCAGCAGCAGCCGAAACTGCTTCTCTCCACCGTTTGACTCTTGACTCTTGAATCAGTCAGAATTGGTGGCAGCTGCAGCAGCAGCAGCTTTTGCTGACTAGTGCCAACTAGTGCACCACTCTTTTTGAAGACGATGCTTCAGATGAGCCGCAAGGTGGTGGTGGTGGCTGCTTTCAATCTCATTCAGAAACTGCTGCTGCCAATGCTGACGGTGATGTGCCCGGCGGAGAAGAGCCCGAAGTCGCGGCGGCCACCGACTGCACACTGGGACAAAGTGAAAAAGTGAAGTGATGGTCCACAACCACTACTACTGCACACTCATGGCACACAAAGTGGAGAGAGAAAGTAACCGAGTAGACAAGGTAGCAGAGTCAGGGAGAATGAAAGAGAAAATGAGAGAGAGTGATCGGCGAGAAAGAAGTAGAAGTGAAAGAGTAGGAAAAGACGAGACGAGACACTGCCGTGCTCCAACAGCCGCCGTCGCCGCCGTGGTCGTTGCGGACACTGCGGCGACAGGACAAGCACACACACACATAAATTAGACGCAAGAAGTAGATAGATAGATAGATGCCTGGGATGCTTTCACTAGCCAGAATATGGTTCGCTGACTGACTGACTTGCTGCTGCTGCTGCTGCTGAGACTCCTTCTCGCTATCTTTTTTCTCTCACTTTCTTCTTTCACCACCACCAGCACCACTCACGCTGGCGACACTCAAGAGACCGTGAAATATGGCGAGAAAGAGAATGAGAGAGTGAGAGCAAGATTGGACAATAATTGTCCGCCATTGGTCGCTCTGGCTTTCTCTCTCATTCTCTGGAGCACTTCTACTCGGAATTGTGTGTACAGTGCGGTAGAAATNGAGAGAGAGACAGAGAGAGACAGAGAGAGACAGAGAGAGAGAGAGAGAAAGAGAGAGAGAGAGAGAGAGAGAGAGAGAGAGAGAGAAAGAGACGAACATAGGCAGTGTGACGAGAAACATCAATCGTGCACACACACACTCACTCACGTTTGCCAGTGACAAATCAAATACAGCGAATAGACAGACAGAATAGACAGACAGCATTCGCACTCGCATTCGCATTCAGCAGGCAGTCAGCAAGCATCAACAAGACGGCAAGGGAAAGAGAAAGTGTAGTAAAAGAATTGAGAGAGAAAGAGAGAGATGAACTGTGGCGTAACAAGCGGCAGAGACGGCGGCGGTAGAGCACACCGTCCAGAACCCANGAGAGAGAGAGAGAGAGAGAGAGAGAGAGAGAGAGAGAGAGAGAGAGAGATGAACTGTGGCGTAACAAGCGGCAGAGACGGCGGCGGTAGAGCACACCGTCCGGAACCCAGCGACAGGGCTTTCTTCTGCTGTTCAGTGCACACAATTTTTCCTCCACACAGTCGCAAATGTGTGTGCACTGCAAAACTAGCTAGCAGTGAAGAGGAATGAGGAATGAGGCACCAGGCCGATTTCTGCTGGAGCGGCACAGCACTGGGCGCACACCTCGATTCTGGGGTGCTTCTTTGCATTCGATGATGGTGCACCACTGGTGCACGGCACATCACAAACACCACATCACTGAACACCGATGATATTAGCACTAAAGCAACAGCAGCAGAATAATTAGCCCCCGTTATGCTGCTGCAAAAATAACGATAATAATAGCTGCCGTTGATGATGATGGTGATGGCCCGGACGCGCCATCATTGCCATCCGCCGCCGCCGCCGCCACTATTGCCAATATTAACAACAATAACGTTATGTAGCGGTTATGAAGTTATTTGGTGGTAGTAGAAAGCCCCTTCTTCTTCTTTTTCTTCATTTTCCCTTCCATCCTCTGCTGATGCTGTTGCTGCAGCAACTGATGCAGTCAAGCTAAGCATTCAATCGCCGATGCTAAGCTGATCAGTCTACAACAGTTGACTTCTTGCAATTGTAGTGGTGCATTGTGGTGGTGCTTTACTTTCTCTAGAGCTTACATCAGAGCGCTTACTGTTTTTTTTGGCTATTACTTTTGCCGAGCAAGTAAGTGAAAGTGGTGGTGGTGGTTACCTAACAACAGGCCTCCTCCTTCAAGCCCAAAAAAAGAAAGAGAGAGAGAAAGAAATTTGCCGCCTCTAGCAAAAAGTGTTGTTTGGGCCACCGCAAAACTGAAGAAGTGAAAAAAGAAGTGTGTGTGTGCTTGACTCGTTTTCACTTGCTGGCTTTTACTTGCTCAGAGTCTCATCGACACTGTCATTTGTGCCTAGTGCTCTCAGGGCGCTGCTGCTGCATCTTTGATAGACGTTGGTTGGCAGGCTTGAATTAATTTAAAAGGTAAAGCAAAAGAAAGCCAGGAAAACAGAGGAAAGAAGTTGCAAATAAAAAGAAGAAGGAACAAAGTAGGAACACACTGCCAAGAAGATTGAAAATTAAGCGAGCAGAAGAAAGCAATTCGATTGGCTTCGAGTTCAAAGTGAGTACATTGCTGAGAAAAGGGGAGGCCAGGCGGTGCACTGTTGGCGACGGCAATTGTTTAGCTTGGCTAGACAAAATAAAGTAAGTGTGCTGGAGCAAGTGATTGAGGATGCAAATGCCAGTCAGAAAAAAATCGGGCAAAATATTGGCTTGCTGGCAAGTGGTGTGAAAGAGGAAGAAAAGGAGGACCACTCCAGCGACGACGATCGAGAAACCTAGCGAGAACCGATCTAATGAAGACAAATCGCTTTGTTTCTTTCTTTTGAAACAGAATCAATATCACCGCCAACACACACAAATTTCTGCTCTGGCATACGTCAGACAGTTGAAATTGGCATTTGGCAAGCAGTAGCAAATTGCTACTAACAATAAATTGTTAAACCTGTGCAGACTACCTGAACAAAACCACAAAAAAAACATTTTTTTGTTCTCTTTGCTTTGGTTTACTGGTGGTCATCATCTTTTGATGATTCTGTGCCCTGTCACACTTTTTTTTTCACTGCACTGTCATGTTTGCAAAAATGTGTGCCACAAGTGCACACACACTTTTTGCAATGGTTCATTCTGATCACTGCTGTTTCTCCTGCCTCTGTTGTTGGCAATCATAAATTATGGGCCGCATTAATTTGCAGCTGTTTGCAGCCACCGGGGTGCGAGTTGCTGGGAATGCTCCAATTGTTTGTGAACACACAAACAGAGACAGAGACAACCAAAAAAGAAGAGATGCTGCTCTACTGCTTCACTAATCATTGTGATGGTCGCTGCAACAGCAGTAAAAAGAATGGTTAAATAAAAAAAAGAAGAGCATAAAAATGAAAGGACCAACTGGCAACATCAAAGCACTAATTAGAAATTGCAGGCACNGAGAGAGAGAGAGAGACAACCAGAAAAGAAGAGATGCTGCTCTATTGCTTCACTAATCATTGTGATGGCCGCTGCAACAGCAGTAAAAAAATGGTTAAATAAAAAAAAGAAGAGCATAAAA